TGTCAGGCCCCAATATGCACTCGCATAGCTCCCTGGGCTGTTCTTTTCATAGCACTAACCGTCGTTGTAGCTATGTATCTATGATTATTATGTCTACCATATTTCTCTACTACATAGTAAGCTCCATGCCGCCATAGACTAGGTGTGTGTTTGCTTGGGTTGGGTTTACAGACATGTGGCCCAGATAGATAATGGGGCCCAAGCTCAGAAGGGTTCCATGCTGGGTTTAAGCCTCTGCTATTATTTTCTTGAAATCCTTAATTTTATCTTTGAACTTGTGTTTTGTAAATGAAGTCTAATGGGACAGTAATACACACATGTGAGCAGAGGAGGTAAGTAGAGTCTGCATATTTGCTGTTCCTTGCCACCCCGTTCACATATACCATGTGATACCCCATGAGCAGAGAATTCTGGAAAACCCACGATGATGCACAAGCATTCAGGGAGACACAAAGCCAGTACAGGTAAGTGTGTTGCATCCATGACAAGTAAACAAAGACACTGACAACTTGGAGAGGCCACGTTCTCCCTTCAAACCAGAGCTTGCCTCCAAAGCAGAAAGAAGGCAGAAACATTCTAAGAAATACACTGGGCCAAGGAAGCCCACCTGCCACATTTTTTCTTACTCCTGTCACTTCTTTGTATTAGCCAGTTGTTCACATGGGAAATAATGACATAGAAGGAATGGCAGAGAGGAAAGTACACGACTCCTTTACCTTTCAGCCCTGCCTTACCCATCAGTGAGCTGACAAGAGAGAATGCTGGTAGAATGTGTGCACATCAAGAAGTAAAATAAAACCAGCTGAGTTAATTATATGCAGCATTTCCACTGTCCTGGGAATAATGAAATATATCTGCACATACAAGTCATGAAACACGAATGATGCCATTTCAGTGATTCCACATATGAGCCAAATGCTTTTATATTTGCATTTTAAACCAACACAGCACAATATAAAGATGAACAATAAAATTCACGTTAATAATTTAAACATTTAATTTCTCCTTCTTTTCTTTATTTTGCTATAGTCATGGCAAACAAACAAATAAAAAAGCCATGCTGAGGCAAGACACACTTATTTCCCTGATTTTTGAACAAGGGGTCCCATGTCTTTGCACTGAGCACTGCAGTTATACAGCCAGCCCCGGTTTATGCTTATCATAGTTTCTGTAGCAGGAATGGTGCCTGGCCCATTGTGAGTTCTCAATAAATATTAAGAATGAATGAATGGATGACCCTCATGAGATGAGGACTGTGGCTAATGAATCTAATTAGCCACTAAGCCCTTTGTACCTTTAATCAAAAGTAAGCAGGGTTGGAAAAATGGAGAGTCACTGGCTGAGGGGTAGCATTTGAAGCAATGGCAGGGATGGCATGGCTTAAAGAGAGATGAAGAAAGAAGGTGGTCTCAGAGTGGCCTCTGAGAAATTTCAACGTTGAATATAAAGACAGAGGAGGACTTTGCAAAAGACACCAAGAAGGAGTGATCGAAGGTCAAAGGAAAAGCATGAGCAGGGTAAAGGAGGGGTGTCACAGAAGACAAGGAGAAGTTGAGAAAGGCCTGGTGTGCTCTAGGATATTCTGGGATGTTCTGGATGCTCTCCAAGGGTTTCTCCCTGCCAGACTGTCTCTGTCTCCTGGCGTCTACCTGACATGCACAGTTTCACTGTCAAGAAGCTCAACTGCCTTCCATCAGGCAAGTCCCAAGCTAACCAACTTGGTGTGCAGGAAAGAAAAGGTGCTGCAGCTCACCCACCTGCAAAATGTCACAGAGGTCCTGGCAGATGTTGGCCATGTAATCTGTTCTCTCAAACAGCCGTTTCTGATCAAACTCCCACCGAGCTCCTCTCCCTGAAACCTCGATCTTTGCCCTGGTGTCAAAATAGGCCTTTTTCCACGTGTTGAGGGTGTTCCTGGCTTCCAGGGTTTTGTGCTGTGCACTTGCTCGATTTTCTCTGAGAAGCAGAAATGGGATGGGGGGAGGAAAGGCAGCATGGTGGTAGTCCTAAGCCACACTCTCCTGGGGACAGGTTTCTAAGGGGAGAATTCTAACCAAGAATCAGGGGCCCTGTGACTTTGCGGCCTCACCGAGGAAAGCTGACCGAGCAGCTGCTGCCCCACCGCCACTGCAAGGGTGTCATTTGCAAGGGTGGGGGATGGCAAGCACAGCCCAGGCTGACCTTTGCTGCACCTGCCCACCCAACATTCAGACCTGTGGTACACCTGCTGAGCTTTCTCAGCTAGAAGGGGAACAGGGGTCCTGAGCCCCAGGCCATAAGTCAAAAATGTTGGGCTGCAACACCAGAGCAAAATGTTATTACCACATTATATTTCCCTGATACAGTTTTTTTTTTTCAAGAAAGTGCAAAAAGATCTGAGTCTCCTTCAACATTTGATCTTCAGAGGCTGAGTGGCCTGGAGTGCAGGACTGATGCTTCCTCTGACCATCTGCCTCATCTCTCCGAGGATAAGTAAGGAAGAAGGTCTTGATTAAAACAATTTTATTCATATTGGAGTATCATTTGGCCACCAGAAGGAATGAAGCCTGACATGTTATACCACTGATGAACAGTGGAAACATGTTGCCGAGTGAAAGGAACCAGTCATGAGACCACATGTTGCATGATTCCATCTGTATAATGTTTGAAATGGGCAAACCCATAGACAGGAGGTAGATTAGTGGTTGTCCAGGGCTGGGTGGGTTGGGATGTTGGAGGTGATGGCTAAAGGGCCTGAGGCTTCCTTCTGAATTTAAGAAAATATTCTAAAACCAATTGTAGCGATGGATATACAACTGTGTAAACGTACAAGAGCCATTGACTTGTACATTTTAAATGAGTGGATTGCACAGTGTGTGAATTTTGTTTCAATAAAGCTGTATAAGATCTTAAAACCAAGTGTTGTGACTTCTCACTTGAACAAAGTCCGCAGATTCACCACTTTGCAGACCCTCTCAGCAATTTCCCAGGCGATGCGCTCCATGAGCGGGATCATCCTCTCGTCTTTATTGTAGTGTCGGGAGATGATCCACACAATCTTCAGGGCACTCATCATGGAGGGGATGGTCTCCAAGACCACGTGAAAGCTAGACCCATGCGTTATGTTCTACCCGGAAGACATACAAAAAGAAAGAGGAGAGAGCAATACAAGCAACATTAGCCCTGGGGTCAAACATGTTAATAAATCGACTGATGCCTGCTATAACACAGGTGACCTTGAAAACATGAGGCTGAGTGAAATAAACTGGACATGGAAGGACCAATATTGTATGATTCTACTTATATGGAATATCAAGAACAGGCAGATTCATAGAGACAGAAAGTAAAATAGAGGCTTCCAGGGGCTGGGAGAGGAGGGAGCCCTGCTTAAGGGGTACAGAGTTTATGATGCGGATGCCAAAGAGGTTTTGCTTGTCGACAGAGAGGATGGGTCTACAGCATGCATATGGACTGTAATTAATGCCACTGACTTATACACTTACAATTATATACCTCCCCAAGTGCAGTTCGCCCAGCCTACCTTGAAATGACGTTCCACAGTCGAAAGAAACCGCACGTTGTCTGAGGCCTCCATGTGTAACTTGAATAACTCAGTTAAGACTGGCTGCAGGTTAGCCCCAAGCATCGACTCTGACTCCCTGATCACATTGAAGACTTTTCTGACTATCGGAAGCTTCGTTTGTTCATGGAGTGCGCTTAGGGTTGCATTTCTTTCCCGCCAGAATTCGATTTCAGCCAGAGGACCATGACCCTGGGAGGTGACAGGAACACAACCTATCTTTGTTAGTTAGGGGTAGACATTTGGGTTGTTTCTCCAGCATTCAATCCCCTCCTCCCGACTGCTCCAATAGGAACTAACCTGTACTGGGATTTCAGGGCTGAGCACTTGACTGGGATGGGCCGATCAGAGTAAATCTTAGGACTCCAGCTGGGAATGCTAGACCAAAACACCCCATCATCTTCTGGACAATGTGGTGTGGGGATGTGGGGGCCAGCCACTGCTACAAGTTGCAACCATGAAGGACCCCAGCCTGAGGAGGATGTCCCCATAGAGAGGAGGATGCAACCAAGAGTCAGAGAAACATAGCCAGACTCCTGATCAGACCATACCTGAAAGCAACCCTATGTCTGGACTTTTCAGTTATGCAATGATGTGAGCCAACAAATTCCCTTTCTTGTTTCAGCCAGCTGAGTTAGGCTTCCTGTTTTTGGCAGCCCATATTTCCTGACTGATACACAGTATTATCTTTATCAATCCAGGGAGTAATCTGGTAACACACTAACATCAGAAAGCCCAAGAATGGTATCTTGGATATGTTTACTTTTGATCTTTTGAGACATCACACAACAATAAGAAAAGAGGTTACATCATCACACAGATCCCCAGACTTCTGGCTCTTTCTCAGGGTGGCAAGTGTAAACAGTATCAGGGATCTTCAAAAGCATTGCACACATCACCTGAGGTGTCTTTTTCAGCTGGCCCTCAATGGCTGTGGATATCTGATTCAACCAGTTTATCACACACTGCTCCAAGATCTCAATGGTTTCCCGGTCAGCTGCCAAGTCAGACACCTCTCCCTCTACACTGATGCTTGGCATTTCTAACTTGATCTCACCTAGTAGAGCAAAAACAGTCGGCCACTAGTTTTGAAAAAATGATTATAGACAATAATGTTCAAGTTAATCATGTGGCTCTTCTTCCTATACTTCAATACAATAACATTAGATACATCCCCTGTCCTTAGCCGTCTATATCTCATTCTCTTTCATTAGAATATAACTAAAGCATTTTAGATAATCTTTCAGGGTTAAGCTCAAGTAAAATAATTTAGTTATTTCAGATGTTTCTGAATTTACAACTTCATAACTTCAGTTTAAAAAGTAAGCAAACATCTCCCACCGCCCCCGCGGCGGGTCGCAGCAGCTCAGGCGGCGGGAGGAGCGGCAGCGGCCAGGCAGCCCAGCTTCACGAATGCTCTCGGCGCACCGCGGCCCGCAGGCACCCGGCACGCGCCCGCCGCGCCGCCACGATGCCCAAGAGGAAGGTCAGCTCCGCCAAGGGTGCGGTGAAGGAGGAGCCCAAGAGGAGGTCGGCCAGGTTGTCAGCTAAACCTGCTCCTGCAAAAGTGGAAACGAAGCCAAAAAAGGCGGCAGGAAAAGATAAATCTTCAGACAAGAAACTGCAAACAAAAGGGAAAAGGGGAGCAAAGGGAAAGCAGGCCGAAGTGGCTAACCAGGAAGCTAAAGATTTACCCGCAGAAAATGGAGAAACTAAAAATCAGAGTCCAGCCTCTTATGAAGCAGGAGAGAAAGAAGCCAAGTCTGATTAATATCATATACCATGTCTTATCAGTGGTCCCTGTCTCCCTTCTTGTACAATCCAGAGGAATATTTTTATCAACTATTTTGTAAATAGCAAGTTTTTTAGTAGCTCTAGAAACATTTTTAAGAAGGAGGGGATCCCACCTCATCCCATTTTTTAAGTGTAAATGCTTTTTTTTTTAAGAGGTGAAATCATTTGCTGGTTGTTTATTTTTTGGTACAACCAGAAAATAGTGGGGTATTGAATATGGGAGGCTTTGATTGTCTTGGGTATCAGCTTAACATTCCATAATGGGGGTAGTTTTTATATCCTGTAATATAAACATAAACAAAATGGCAATTTGGAGTCAGTTGTGCATTTAATATATCTTGAACATTTAAATTACTTCTACTCCTGTGTTGTTTCTGGTAGGTTTCCTCAAGAAAACCACTCCTTGATCTTGGCTCTCCTGTCAGAATTTTGTGCACTCTGTTACATCTTTGGTCTTGGTAGTCCAGTTTTCCTAGTAACTTTGTTAATGTGCTGTGAACGATTAAAAATCTGCATATGTAGTGTATATGATAAGTTGTGAATTAGTGAAACCGATGTAACAGCATATCAATATTTGAAGATACGGTACTTGATATCCTATTAAGGAAAACTTGCCTCCAAAGTTAAGCTGGAAAGTCACTGGAATAACTGTTGAGAAAAAAAATCGCAATTACATGATTTTCTAGATATTTGGTATGTACATTAAGAATTGTGTACAAATTGAGATGTCTGTGTACTGGCCCTCAAATAAAACCTCAATTCTAAAAGAAAAAAAAAAAGTAAGCAAACAATCAGAACTCAACAGATACTTGAGAAAACTGAAACAGGCAACCCAAGATAAATCAGGAACAATGACCTCAGAGGAAATTGAGGTGATGTTAAAAAAAAAAGAAAGAAAGAAAAAAAATTTTAATCCCAGCTATTAGTCTCAGAGATTTGAAACACTATATCATCCATAAAATAAGAACAGAATGCTATAGAAGAGGTATAATCACAGAAAAAGAGGTCTTAAAAATTAAATATACGATAGCAGATATGAAAATTCAAAGATTGGGAAGATAAAAGTTGAACTCTGTAGGAAAGTAGAATACAAAGACAGAGATGGAAAATACAAAACAAAGGGTAAGAAACAAAATCAACAACATCCATCCAACAGGATGTTCGCAAGACAAAAAACAGAGAAAAACAGTAGAGGAAATTATCACGAGAATTTTTCAGAATGAAAGGCTAGGTCTTCAGACTGAAAATACAGAGCACTTAGCAAAATGAATAGAAAAAGAACTACACAAAGGTCCATCATCATGACATTTTAAAACACTAGGAATAAAGAGACCCATCCTAAAAGTTTACATAAAGAAAAGGAATAAAAAAAAGAAACAAAGAGAGAGAGAGAGAGAGAGAGAGAGAGAGAGAGAGAGAGAAGGAAGGAAGGAAGGAAGGGAGAGAGAGAGAGAGAGAGAGAAAGAGAGAAAGAGAGAAAGAAAAAGAAAGAAAGAAAGAAGAAAAGAAAGAAAGAAAGAAAGAAAGAAAGAAAGAAAGAAAGAAAGAAAGAAAGAAAGAAAGAAAGAAAGAGAACAAAAAGAGCATCCAATTTCTCATCAGGAACACTAAATACTGGACAGCAATGAAGAAAACTATATTCAAAATTCTGTGCTAAAATGTACAATTTAGACTTCTATACCCAAATTATTCACTTACTGTGAAGACAAAGTCATTTTCAGACATATAAGTATGTTTTCTCATTCCCAACAGAGAAAATTTCTACAAGTGGGAGTATTAAATTTTATTTGGAAGGGAGCAAAAGTTAATTTTCCCAGAATAGCAATACCAGCACACAGACTGTAATAGCCCTTGCTGATAAACACTCTGTTGGCTTTTCACAGTATGGGACCTCTCAAAAGTATAACCACCAATTGGGACTTATGGTCCTTCCTAAGCCAGTCTCTTGACCTTCCTGTTCTCCACTCATGACACACACTCTCCCTCGTCTAGCCATGCCATCTACCCCATCTAATGAGGCTCAGAGCAGGTTGCTCCAACAGTGGCTGCTACAGGTCCATCAGGTGTGGGGCCCTGGGCTTGGACACAGATAACTAAGTCAGGACCCAAATATCAGACCCTTCTTGTCCATGAAAACCCTACTTTTTTCCAACCTTCCTTCATTTGTTCAGCCATTCTCCCTGCCTGAAATGCCCTTGAACTTCAACTCTACCTACTAAGACTTGTCCATCCTTTCAGACGAGGTCAAATGCCACCTACTTCAGGAAGTCTCCTTTGATTTTCTTCCACTTCCTCAACATGGTCTCCCTCTTCCAAACCCCTGTAGGCCCTAATATCTTCCTCAAGCTCCTTATTCTGCCATAGTTCTTTGGGCAGGATACTAAGATCCTTGAAGAAAAGGATTCATCATTCCTCTTTGTGCCTTCTTACTAACTCAGTGAACAGGTTCATAAATTACCACAAAGTGTTCCTGGGTTCTTATATTGCCTTTTTAAAGTAAATTCATCGTGCTTAACTAAAGAGGAGGGAAATGAAGCCTCACCTTCAAGTTGCTGCATCGTCCTTCGAATACAATTTGCAAATTTCTGGACGTTCATTAAAAATTCATCCCGTATTAATTGAATGCTGTGATATTCTACTGCCTCCCCAGGCATGTTAGGCAGGTCAGTTTCATAAGAGTCAGAGATTTCTCCAGACACATATCCCATGGCTGCCTCCTTGTGCTGATTGAAGGACAAAGCTGGCAAGAAAACCTGAAAAAAATGCCAAGTTTATGAAACAGATCTCACAATGTTGTACTCAATCATCCATGCCCATCAGTTGCCTCTGGCTTTGAATAGTCTACAGTAGGACACACAAATACAATCACAAAGTGAAACCTACTCAAACCTACTCAAGAGCACAGATCTAGAGAGAGATTATATTTTTCTTAAGATGATCTCAGTGTAAGAATCTGACTGAAGGCCAATGTGACTGCCACCCTATTACATTTCCCTAATAAGATATCATCAGTGGAATTAGGCTGTTTATAAGGGTTTTTTAAATTGTTTGTCTATGAAGAAAGGCCAGACTTCACCTCCTCAGTGGCATCATCCTTTACCACCCCACCCACACACACACACACACTGTCCATTCCTATCACATTACTGGGGTTCATTTAATTCATGCCATGTGTAACTACCTAGTATTTTCTGGTTTATGGATTTGTGCTAGTTTATAAGGGTTTTTTAAATTGTTTGTCTATGAAGAAAGGCCAGACTTCACCTCCTCAGTGGCATCATCCTTTACCACCCCACCCACACACACACACACACTGTCCATTCCTATCACATTACTGGGGTTCATTTAATTCATGCCATGTGTAACTACCTAGTATTTTCTGGTTTATGGATTTGTGCTTGGTGTCTTTTCGCCAGTATCAGTTCCTAGAGTGCAGAGATGCCATCTTCTGGACCTAAGAGCTGCTGACTACCCATTTTTGGAAGAAGTGAATCAGACAGCCTTCATCTTAAAAAGTGCTGAGTCCATATTTACCTGACATACAATGTTCTTCATGAAACTAAGTGCCTTAGCATTTGTAATTCCATACTCCATGCTTGTAGGCATGATTTCCATGGCCTCCTTCATGTCCGTAGCTTCAGGGATTGCCTCTACACGGGAACAGATTCAGGGGGGATGGGTGGAGACAGGACAGGCAGTTAACATTTCCAAGTGTGCAGAAATCTGCCCCTTTTTCCCAAGTAACTACAAAGGAAATTTCCAGTCAGACCCAGAATTATGCTAATTTCTGTTAAAATGAACACCTCAGCCTGTGAGAAAGTAAAATAAATACAGATGCACTGTGGCTCACAGGTTTGCACTAGCAGAGCTGGAGAACTACCCATATGAGCTGATGGCTGGAGTGTCTCATGTCAGACAAGAATAGAACAATTTAGGTTTTCTAGAAATGTATAGGGTTCCTTCATCTGCTTGTCTCCCCTCTCCCAGCAGTGTCCCAGCTCATCACCAAACATTTTTAGGGTCATGGATTTGTATTAAGACATATTTGGTTAACAGTCTACCCAGTCTATCCTTGGACCAGGTTTTATTTTACACATATTTACTTCACCCCAACAAAAATCAGGGCACATGGTGGACATTTTACAGGCCACTTGGGCATGTCTCTCAGTCTAGTTGGGCAACAGATCAGAATAACAACAAATACGTCAAATGAGGTAATTATTTCCCACATCTATGTAGATATGCACTATTCCTCGCTTCCTTAACATGTTCCTTTACAGCAAACATTTCTTGAATAAATTTACCTTAAAGAGAAACTGCATAAGAATCCTGTGTGAAAAAGAGAACTTGACATCAATGAAAGATAACCATAAAAACAGATATGATGAAAAGGAAAAGCAATTGAGTAATGGTGGATGCCACCCTGCCCGAGGCCCATGCACTGTGATTAACGTGGTCACATAGGAAAGCATGAGCTGAGACCAGCTGCCTGGGACCAGAATTGTAACGGGGATGGCGGGCTCAGGAGGGAGTGCCAGGCTACTTAGTGCTGTGTTTCTGCACTTCCTCTTCCCCTCCCATCCACTTGGAAAGGGTGAATTATAGAAGCTCAGAGCTTAACCATGAGGTCCTAACCCAAAGCACCATCGAAGTTCAAAAAAGGAGAAAAAGCAACTTAATGTTTGTTCTAGAATTTAGTGTGAGTCCTAAAATGTAGCTATGCACAGTCTTTACAGAGGCAAAGGCAAAAGAAATGGGGAAAAGAGCAGGCAGGCAGAGTGGAGGGTGAGCCTGAATCAAATTACACAAGAGGAAGAGCCATGGATCAAAAGGGACCTGAGCCCGAGAATCACTGGGGATGCTGATACAAAAAACCCAGGTGGTGCGCAGGATAGACGAGTGCAGTGGGAATGCACAGCGGGCACTCATACCCAGAAGTTACCCTGAAGGATAAACCTGGCCTCTGAGCAGCTGCATTGTAACAGCATGAGGGAGAAAGCCCACCAAGGTTCACCTGATAACTCAGGGTCACATCATTTTGAATCTTCATCTCATTGTTACACAGTGTATCACAGTCAGTTCTCATTATTCATAGCAATAATATTCTATGAAGTCACCATGAACACAGAATTAGCAAATATTGAGCCACTGCTCCAAGGAGAAATACAGAGGTAGGTTCCTATGAGCCTCTGGTCATATTTTCATCAACTATTAATCTGTCACATTGCTTTATGTGTGTTTCTATCAAAGAATCTTATTTAATATATATTGTTGATTCTTAACATTGAACTCATGGCCAAAAGCATGTAACTCATGCATGAATGGGGCTTATCCAACACAGGTACTTCCTCTGTGAGGCCCTTTGCCGCCTCCCTGAGCTCAGGACCACTAGCCATGGCCCCAGTACTTCACTTAGGAGCATTTCAAACAGTGAAATGCCCTACAAAAAGCACGTAAAGTGAAAAACATGGCACTAAATAGATCACAGTAAGGAAAGTTGTTTGCAATCTGATAGCTAAAATAATGAGGCAGAGCCTTCAGTCAGGAACATTCATGTGGGGTGAGCCATGTCTGCACACGTCTGCGAATGACCTCAAAAGTGCTGCAAGAATTGATTTGGGGGTTATGAAGGAATTTGAGTGAGTAGGTAAATTCACAAATATGGAACCTGTGAATAATGAGGCTTGGCTTTACTGATAAAAAGTTATATTCTCAATAAAATCTAAAACTTAAGAATCTCACAC